CCGCGCCAGACGACTGGCAAGTCGGGAAGCGTTGGAGTAAGGCAGCCCGAAGTGACAACTGCGCCGAATTCTGTTTGTAGATACGGCTATTACAGCTGGTTCTGTGCTAAGCCGTATGGAAAAGATCACGTTTCCTGCAGCTCGCTCTCGGCCCGCAGCTCGCTCTTGCCCCGTCTCTTCCTCTCTTTTTTTGGGGGGGGGGGATCTGTAGTGTCTATTTAAATGTCTATTTTATTACATCACTACAGTACATCATTCCCGCGCTTCCCAGAGCTGAATTCTCCATGTCATATATTTCTGATATTAATTTTTTAATGATTCTTTGAAGTTGTTATCTCTAACTTAAGCCATCACTGACTCCATATTGTACGTGTCACCTTAAGGATTTTAGCAATATGTATATATGCTTTTTAACTGATTTTTGCTTTATCGCAAAAAAAAAAAATTAAATCTTTCTTGGTGCTCAATTTGTCCTCTGTAATAGAGATGGAACTCCGCTGAAGTTGCTGAAAGCTGAACGTATAATGGAAAGCAGACATAGGCATTAAGATCCCAATGCTGCAACTGTTACTCATGCAAATTAAGTCCTTGAAGTCAGTAGGACTATTCATCTTGGTAGAAGCTATTTGTGCAGGTCAGACTAGCAATATCAAGACCTATTTGAGCATGCACCATTTTATTATGCAAACATGTGTAAGCAAAGCTATCAATCAAAAAAACCCTAGTCTGAAAGATAAAATGCAAGTGAGAGGGGAAATTTAATTAACTAGTATCCAGAAAAGAGGTTTGAGATGGAAAATTCTACCAAGTATTCTAGGTAAGGGTATGAATGAATAATTGTTAAAATAGTAATTCTTTGAATTTCAGCAGTGTAACTACAGCTACCCAACTTCCTTGAACACACACAATCCTTTCATAATGAAGAACTATCACCATCTTGTTTTTTTCACAATAAAGGTTTTCCTAATTTTAAAGACTTTTGTTCTAAGTAAATTCAACCATTATATGGCTGGTTCTGCCTGTCCAACTCTTCAGAAATTCATCCATAATCAAAGGACCATTCCCTGAGATGCCTGGTTCCTAAAGATTCTTGTCCTACATCCTCTTCATCAGCCTCTGTAATATCCCAATAACTTTCTACTCCTGAAATCCCTCAACACAATATTCTCAAGTCCAGAAAACTACCCGGAGGCCAGTTATAAACAGAGTTCCTCAGTAGTCTGTCCTGAGACTTACCCTTTTTAATATCTGTCTCAGTGACCTGGAGGGGGAGACACAAAGCACCCTCATCAAGTTTGCAGATGGCACCACAGTGAGCAGTGCAAAGGGAAGGGCTGCCAGTCAGAAGGACCTGATGAGCAGGCCAGCAGGAACTTCATGAAACTCAAGAAGGACAAATGCAAAGTACTGCACCTGGGATGGACTAACTGTCTGCAATGACACAGGCTGGGGACTGCCTACCAGGATAGCAGCACTGATGGGAAGCACATGAGAGTCTGGTGGGCAGTAGGCTAACCAGGATTCAGCAGTGCATCCTGGCAACAATGAAGACTAACAGCATAGTGGGTTGTACTAACAGCAAAATGGTAGCTCAACAGTAACCAATAAATCAAGGGAAGCAATTATTCCTCTTTGCTCAGCCCACATCTAGAATACTGCAGTCAGTTTTGGGTCGCCCAGTACAAGAAAGACTTGGAAAAACTTGAGTCCAGGGAAAAGTCACCAAGACGGTTATGGGCTTGGAGCACATGACCTATATGAGGAGAACCTGAGGGTTCTTCATGCTGGGGAAGAGAAGGCTTAGGGGAGAGGTTATTGAGAAGATGGAGCTAGACTCTTTATTGAGGATGCCTGGAAGAAGAATGAGAAATAAATTCATAAACTGAAACAGCAGAGGTTCTGACTGGTTATAGGGAAGAATTCTTCATTATGAAGATAATTAAGTACTGGAACACTTCACACAAAAAAGCCTTAGACTCTCCCACCTTCCAGGTTTTTAAGACTCAGCCAGACAACGCCCTAAGCAACCTTGTCTGAATTTTATGTTGACCCAGCTTTGAGCAAGATGTTGGACTAGACCGACCACTCAAGTTCTCTTCTAACCTGAGTGATTCTATGATCCGTGTCCTCCTGCATAGCTCGAACTTCCTCCCATATTCCTTATTATCGCACGATACCCTTAGTTCCCTCATACATCTAGGATCACCCCCTGGCACGTCTCCCGGTCCTTATTTGTCCAGCTTGCTAGCTGGGCACAGTCAGCTCCCCCTGAGGATAACCTGGCCAGTCTGTACAAGAGTGCTGACTGGCAGCCACCCAGACAGAAGAGCAAAGAAAAGGAAAAAACAGTAGATTTCCCCCTCAACTGGGACACACAGAGGGGCTATCTAGCTGTTGATTTATCAATGGATTCAAAAGTTACCTGAAGGGAGAGAGAAGGCAGGTGAATAGACCATTCAATCACTTAAGGCTAGCTTTCTTTGGAAAACAGGCTAAGGAAGAAAGAATACAAAACAGATTTCCCCAAAAATGAATTAGCGTCAAGAAACCAGACTACAAAAAGATAAATTTTTAAAAAGTCAACTTGTCATGCACAACATTCATCATGTGTGGAAGCATCACCATATCTTCCTTGCTCTAAATTACATTAGTCAAAATCCTGTTAGCATAGGATGTCAGAAGCAGGGTGCATTCCAAAGCTGTATACTACATGAAGATTTGGCACACTACTTAAATACTTGGATTGTACTTAGGGCAAGGATGGGAAAATTGCCAACGTGCTCCTGAAACAACAATCTCATCTATACTTGGGAAGGCTGGCCTAGTTATATTTTCATAAACAGTCATGTATACCACTTTATTGATCCGCTGACCTAAGAAAAGTTCTGATACCATTGTTTAGAGATCGTCTTTTTTTGCTTTCTGCTCCTCAGAGAAAATGCCAAGTAGAAACTGAATCTATGCAAAGGGCTGGAAACTGTTAATCTTCATATGTTTCTACATTAAAGTCTTAGTATTTGTCACTTCTATATCTCCTCCTGAGTTTCATCCACTCTCATTTATAAAAAGCATACTGGAATTCTGTCTGCCATCAAAGGAAAATAATGCTGATCTCTAAATAGGAAATTCCTGAGATATTCTTCCAGTCTGCATAATTACTTTTTCCAGTTCTAATACAGAAAGGCTTCTCTTCCCTTTGCAAGATTCCCTAGACTGATGACGATGTGGGAAAATAAATATCATTTATAGTTTTAAGAAATGTGTATGTACACATATATGTATTTTATAATACTATACATACTTAATTGTATCACAAAACACAAATATCCTCAATATAATATTCATCTTTCTAACCAAGTCACTGGACAGTGGCTTCACATATTTTTATTTAGGTCCTAGCATCCTGGATTCTGGTCTTAATTGTGCCATCTGATCATTTCAATAAGTCATAATATATACACTTCCATACGTACAGAAACGCAAAACCCAAAAAGAAAATTAAGATTAAACAAAAAAATTAACGTATTTCTATCAACAGACTGCTATCATCTGTCTTTTGTTAAAAAAAGTTGAACTT